ATGAACTTGTCGGTGAATTAATTGTCGGTGAACTAAGATGTCGGTGAAGTGATTGTCGGTGAAATGATACGTATCCGTTTTTTATTACGTTTGGAAAAAACGAGATTCATTTACACGTCCCGTGTTTAGGTACTTGCGTACGTACGTACGTACGCGACTCTTTATACGCACACAAATTTTCATGTGTTTGTCGAACTTTGGCTAAATATTACGATTTATTGTGTCACTCAGGAACCCGAATAACTTTTACAAAGGTTACAAATAAAAAATGGCTTAGATTAATAAAAATTTGCAAATTGCAAAACAACTTCTATTAGCGTTAGTATGTCATTACTTAAACACTGTTTTTATCCGGACCAGAATCCTTAAGATTGAATTTTCCGATTCATGGCGATAGAGTCTGCTGATGGTCACAACCAGTGTTCGAAATTGGTGTTCTCAGAGTTTTCATGAGAACACTATTATGAATTTGTGCACAGTATAAATTTTTTTACTGTTCACTATTAAAATTTTTTGTGAACAGTAAAATAATCAAAGTGTTCTCATTTATAATATGTATACTCTAATATAGGTTCTTTTTTGTTATTGCGAACATAAAACAATATTTTGAGAACACCTATAGTTATTGTACTGTTCTAATGAGAACAGTATTTGAGTCTGAAATTTCGAACACTGGTCACAACTAGTGATGTGCTCATGCGCATGGGAATATTTCGGAATTTCCGGAATATTTCAGAACCTCATAATTCTGGCCCGCATTAACAGCAAGCTACCATAATGCAGGCCAAAATTCCATGCGCATGAAATTTGAAAAAGGCTAATTTGCCTATCGCTATCACTAGTCACAACTCCATGATTATAGCTATTGTTATTATTACCGTATTGCGTAATAACGCACATGGGTGCTATTTCGAATAATGGCCCGAATTAAGCTTAATTTAGACCGAAATTCAAAATTACGCCCCTGCGTAAATACGGTAAGTATAAAACTCTATTAACTAAGCCTCATAAAAATCACTGAATAAAGTATCACGGTAGGCGACTACATAAGAAAAAATTTACAGAAGTTCCATGTTTTGTAATTAATCGTACTGGTCCGCTCAGAGTTTCTTCAAAGACTAAACTCTTTATACCTTGGATGATACTTGGATATGATAAATTTCCAACTAAGCCACTTTCGGAACTCGACACAGGATATACCGAGCATACTAACACTACAGACAATGCAGATACATGGATTCAGCTTCAAATACCTGTTAAAGGAACAGACTATTGTTGGATTGGCACCAACACTCTATTTTGTGATGACAATCCGTCATATGAACTTGGAAAAACGAATATTTTTGTTACATATCATTTCTGTTCAGCGATAGATAATTATAATTCATTACAAGCATGTTATAAACTTAATCCCGAACAATCACCCTTAAAATTCAGATTTAATTACACAGCTGTTTTAAAATCAAATGACAACCAAATTAAAATAACTAAGGACGAATGGAAGAGTAGGAAAAGAAATTTCCCACAAATTCGAAAAAGGAGCATTTTTACGGGTGAAAAATGGAATTTGTCTAACGATAACAAATTGGTATTTGCAAGTATTCTTTACCCAAACACCATTACGATTGAAAAACGTTACTCCTTACTTTTAAATATTAATCCAAGATATCCTATAATTAAGTCATTGGTAGATATAACTGAAAATCCAAAGTGTAGAATTAGTTATGTTATTTATCCCAACCCATTACCATAGTATCCCAAGTGTAACAACAATCATTTTAATTACAATATATTTAAA